GTGTGTGTGTGTGTGTGTGTGTGTGTGTGTGTGTGTGTGTGTGTGTGGAGGAGGGGCCGCCTTGGCTTAGCGGAGGAAGCTCCAGCCGTCCCTTCTGCACCCCCCTCCTCCTCCCTCACAGGTGACTGTTGGAGGTCCCAGCTGGCCAGCTCTTGGCCGATTAGATCCATATGGTACAGGAGGAGGAGGAGGAGGAGAGAGAAGTGCCCATCAGTTGCATGGGTGCTAAGGGAGCTGCTAGCTTGTCCTTTTTTTGCCCTTAGCTTCAAAACAATTCTCGTATGTTTTTATTTTTTTTAATCTTTTACACTTAATCATTTTTTTTTCACTCCATGTCTCACCATTATTTTCTGTTTACTCTAGAGTCTTAATGTTGTTCCCCCGAGTTCATTCTCAGATCTATTGCCGTTTGTCTGCTCTCTGCTGTTTTAGTGGAGATGGTGTCTTCTTTGCTGATCATTTGAGGGCTCTGTTTAAAATGAGGGATTATTGTTTTGTTTTATTCAAGTGGTGTGAGTTTGGGGTTTATGGATAATTCTTTCATACGTCCAAGAAACACACCGACTTCTGTTGATGCATGAGAGTTACAAAGAGTTACAAAGTTGATTGATTTGAATCTCTGTACACCCATGGTCCAGTATATTTAGCCTAGCTTGACACAAAGAGTAGAAAGCGGATGAAGAAAGCTAACCAACCCCTAAAAGAAGGGGAAACAAGCCTGCAGCACAGCTAAATCATTTGAATGTGTTGGCTCGGTAGCCGTCAAGCTACCCACCGAAACACCCATGGTTTTGTTCAGGGTTGGGAAAGTGAGGACATTACTTCTGAGTTGCTGCGTTTGTACTGATGTTGGTCAAAAAGCTACAGTGCGTAAGCTAACTCACTAAACCCACAAGTTTAGTTTTCTTTAATAATATTTAAAAAATGCAAGTTACAACATGTTTTTCATGAGAGCTTTGGAGTTTCTGTGTACCATTTTTTATTTTTACAAAACAGTAACTTAGTTTGGTTTTACTTCTTGTTCCAGTGTTTGTGCTAAGCTATGACTAAACATGCTCCGTCTTCCATTGAGCGGTATTCCTTAGCTGTGCGTGTCTGTGGGTGTTAACTGGGCCCACATAGTTGTAGCGTTGCACATTGCTCCCAATTGTCTTTTTTGCTCCCTGATAAATGAGTCAGGCCTGTGTTACGTCTTCTCTCGCCTCCTCTACAGTGACAGGAGAGCGATAGCAGCACGCACAGGCCTACACCGCCACACACCCTTGCACACACTTTCCTTGTGACTCACAGCCGCCGGAGAGTTTCAACTTCAGAGTTAAACCAGGAGCTTAATAAACCCTAACACTCAACACATTTATTTCTACAACACATCGAGAGTAACTTATTTGCACCGATTGAAAGTAGGTTATCCATCTTCACGTCCTGGAAGGAGGTAAATTAATGTCTTGTTTCAGATATAATTTTTTAATAGATTGCCTTCAGTCACAGTTGTAGCACGGTGGGAATATCCCTCTTCTGTTTTTCTATTTCTGATCTCTCTCTGTGTCGTCATGAGCCTCATTCTAAATCATCACCTGCAGAGGCAGAGGCAATTAAAGCCGATTAAATGTTTTAATGCAGACGAGCGTCACCTGAAGCTGAACAAACAAGGAACACCTGGCTAGCAACGGCAGTCATCCCCACAGACGCACACTACTTTCCCATCCGTGCAGCAACAACTGATGTAAAAAGCAACTCAGAAAGCTGAAGATTAGATGTTGTTATTTAGGTCTATTCCACATTTTTTTGAGAAGACAACAGGAAGAGCTGCAGCATGAAACGGTGAGCAGAGTTTAGACTTATTTTCCGTTTCTTTTTTTTTTAAAGAGAGTCGATGAAGACTTCTGGTTTTCAGCTTTGTATTCAGTATGCGTCGGTCTTTCCAGCTTTCCTTCAAAGTGTTGTCTAGGCATCGTGGCATTTCCATGTAATCCTGTTGATGTGTAGTGACAAGCCTTTGATTCATGTGAGCAAAGATGACAGGTGGCATTTAGACTAAAAACACCCCACACCCCATATCCGCCTCTGAGCCAACATTCACCTGAGTTGACATTAGACCACTTTGTACACTGTGTGTGTGTGTTTTGTGGCTGCTGTAACAGCTGCCTCCTGTGACTACATTAGATGGACTCAGGTGCTCGTCAGCCAGATGAAGTCATCCAGCTATGTACGCTGCCTTAATTGACAAGCAGAGGCAATTCTCTGTGGGCTGTCAGCACTCTACATGCACACACACACGCACACCTACACCTGCTGTCTCCCATATTGGCCATTACCTCTGGCACGGCAAACGAGTCAACGCACCTTGCCGCATCTCAAGATTGCTCCAACATGGCTGTGACCTAATTTGTCAGTTCTATGCGGACACGGGGTACGTTATTAAGACATTATGTTTGTGTTCTGTGGCGTCATGTGGATCTGTCGGTCAAACACAACAGGCCTACAAGAAGCTTTACAAGGATGACAGTCAATTTGGACACAACCGGTCGCTGCCAATGGAGAGCTGTTGATAATGTGTCAACATGTGCACACATCCCCATGCAACATCATATGAAGTTGTTTACATGGTAACCGTCTTGACACTAAAGGCCATATGCCCCGTTGGTTCTGTTATTGAGATGTCAGTCTAATTTCCTGGCCATACGGACGGAGTGTGCGGAGCTGCTTTGGAACCTGTGTGTGTGCGTGTGTGTGCTGCGGGCTGCTTCCTGCGGTGCACTGGCAGGCCGTGTGTGTGGTGGGTACAACAGTCCAAATGTCTGCGTTGATCCCTCCTTCCTGCCCCCCCCCCTGTGTTGGTGAACAGGTGAAGCGATGGCAGGCAGGCCACAGGGCTGAGAAAGAACGAGAGAGCGGGTCGAAGTGGACTGCAAAACAGAAGGAAGAGCAGTGAAAGCTGTATAATGAGTTGCAGGCATGACAGATGAGTTTCACAGGGCAGATTGAGAACGTGTGCAGACTCTAGGAAAGGCAAGCAGGGCTGAGAGATTCGTTGCCAAAGTTTCTTTTATGTGTGCATGCTTGTGTAATTTAACGTATAATTCTGAATTGTTAAGGTATTGATTTCTGTATGCTTTTCCATATTTGTTTCGCATTCACAAAATCTAAAATGCCTTCTATTCATCCAATGGGTGTTATTCCTCCTTTCCGAGTTCTCATGCGTTACCTACTGACGGCTTAGACCTTCCTTTATAAACTGGGTCCCTGTGGCTCAAGGCCATGCAGAGTTCATAGCTGTGAAAAAGATATAATGGGTGCCATTGAAGCCAAAGTCCTAAAACCATGAAACCACATTTAAAAAGCTGCTCTCTGCCGACCCATGACCCGTGAGGCCGTGCTTGTCTATTAATCGGCCATTCTTGAAGCAGTTAGAAAAGTCTGATCCACTCTAAATGGAGACGGGACCCGGCCTTCATGGATCTGCGGGAGACAAAGACGCCTTCTGATCCCACATCTCTCCACCACCATACCCCCCCCCCCTGCCGCCATTTCACTTTCTCAATACTCCTTATCTGGTGGTCTCATTCAATAGCACATTGAGAAGTTGCGTTTAACATTCAAAAGCTCTGCCGATCTTGTTAGTAAAGCGTGAAATAACCCCGTCCCTTTCTCTCTCTCTGTCTCTCCCCCCCCCCCCCCCCCCCCCATTTGCCGGGGAGCTCAATAACGGGGCATTCTTCTCCCACACAATGGACTTCTTCAGCGTTTCTTCTGTTATTGATCTGAATGGTTGGGAGTGAGGGGCTAAACTTTAGACATCTGGCTCTTTGATGGGGGGGGGGGGGGGAGGCAGGGCGGTTGATGTCCCGGCAGTAAGTGTTGTATGATGTGAAGTGGGTTCGGGGGGCACATTTTTGTTTTCTTTTGTGGCTATGGCCCTGAAGCTTTTGAATTGATTTAAACTATTGAGCTCATAGGGAAAGCACAAGTGCTCTTTTTGTTTGCTTGTTTATTTGTCATGTGGACGCTTTAATGAATTCAATTTCTTTTTATGGCTTTCAATCAGATGATTATCTTTTTAAACCCTCATTTTGTGTGTGTGTGTGTGTGTGTGTGTGTGTGTGTGTGTGTGTGTGCGCGCGCGCTGTTCATTTAATAAAGAGAAAATGGTACAATGTGAAAATATTTTTTTTTTTTTAAAGTGTTTTGGTTTTGGACCGACTGCTGACCTCTCTCTCTCTGCAGACAGTAGAGAGAAGAAGAGCCCTGCCATGCCCGGTTCTCCTGTGGATGCTAAGACTCATTCTAGATCAGCCCCCAGCAGCAGCTCCACTATGCCACCCCTGCCTTCAGTCAACCACAGCGGCCCTCGCCCGGCCTCCTTTTCCACCACAGCATGTAAGGGTCATTCTCACATTATCTTCTTTATTAATTAGTTTCTTTAATTTTATTCTCCGGCAAGCCTGTGGTGTTACTTCTCCTGATGTTTCCTCCTCAAACTTTTGTGTTCATTTGGTAGATTTGTCTTAGAAGCGCTTGAAAGCATGGGTCCACTCTATTATCTTAATTCCCCCCCCTCTTCATCTCACCTTTTACTCCTCAGTGACCAATGGGAATCATCATTCCCCGCCAACCCTGAATGCAGTGCCGTCTCCACCGCAGCGTTACAGCAATGGACCATCCTCTTCCTCTTCCTCATCGCTGGCCAACCAGCAGCTGCCGGCCACGTGCGGGGCTCGCCAGCTGAGCAAGCTGAAACGTTTCCTGACCACGCTGCAGCAGTTTGGCAACGACATCTCTCCTGAGATCGGAGACAGCGTCCGAAGCCTCGTTCTGGCCCTCGTGGTAAGTTCTTGTGTCAAAGATAATGTCTCATAAAAGATCTATCTATCTATCTATCTATCTATCTATCCGGCATTTCATCCTCTAACTGTGACTTGGATTGACTGGCTTCTTGAACGTCACTTTCCCTCTCTCCTAGAATTCGACAGTCACCATTGAGGAGTTCCATTCGCGGCTTCAGGAGGCCACAAACTTCCCTTTACGGCCCTTTGTTATTCCCTTTCTCAAGGTAAACGCATCTCCAACCTCCCCTCCATCTTCCCATATTTGCTTTGCATTATTCTGTTGGACTACTTCCTTTTTTCTCTCTGCAGCAGTATTTTTCTTCCCCCTTTCTCAGTTTTAAGTTTTAAACCTGACACAATATGGTAAGCCTGGTTGCCCGTCAGAATCTTCTAGCCCCGCTGGAAACCTGATTAATCGCAGATTAACAAGTGATTAAGAGAAAGTCCTTGACATCAACGTAACCCTCGTTCAGGATGATCTGAGTAATCTATGGCCGATCACACCGCAGCCTGCGATTCACGATTGTAATACATTCATTGCAATTTATTTGTGTATCCAGGATACATTGAAGTAGTCTATAAATGGGCAACTCTGTAGGTTTTCTAATTAAATAAACGGCTTCTCCGCGGTTCAAAGTGATCTGTATCAAGATTTGACTTGACAAGCAACAGGTGTGTGTGTGTGTGTGTGTGTGTGTGTGTGTGTGTGTGTGTGTGTG